TCGAACCAGAACCAGAACTTGCCCTCCCGTCTGTCGATGTCGCGAGATTGTAGCTTCACCGCGACCGTCTCGTAAGGCTCACCAGCAACAATGAGGTACTGGTAGTTTGGGTCTGGCTCTTCCACCTTCTGCTCGTATGCGCTCATGACACGTACCTTGGGAGTGATCCCGGGGGTGAGGTCCGGGAACTGGAACTGGAACAACAAGCCATTTTGGCGTGTGTTCGGGTCGCGTACTTTTGTAATGCGGTATCCAGGCCGACCGATCTTGATGACGTTCTTCTTGGGCAGTACACCCGCGAGGAGTCCTTGCTGGCCCACATCGTCTCTTTTGCCTTCTCTCTGCTCCTTCGCCGCACGACGTGCCAGGTTTGTCTGATGCTTCCTTCCTTGTGTATGGGCGAGATAGGATCCATCGTTCTGGTGGACCGTCAAACAGAGGCGGCACTCGAAACTGCCGACGTGGTTCTTGAAGAAGTACGGGTCCTTGTCAAGGTCGATGGTCTCAAGCGCGAGCTTTCGGAGACGCTCTCGTCGGTCGGCATTCGTCGCGGACTGTGATGCGACACCACCGCCTCCAAATTTGGAGCCTGCGCGATTCTGTAGACGTTAGTAGCTGTTCCTGACTTTCGCGACGGGGTACGTACCTGGTAATCCATCTTGGAGAGACTTCACGATCTGCTGTGTCAATCTTGGTCGCGATTAGACAGGAAGGAGGATGGCTTTTACGTAGGCAGCGGTCAGGTGTTGGGCGGTGTAGAAGTCGTCGTGCTGAAGTGATGTTGCGCGACAGAACTTCTGGAGGCGTGCGACGCTAGTGTCCAGGTACCTGATCCCTGCACTTCAATATCACGTGCGCGGTTGCCTCCACACATTCACCTCGTATAGCGCATGCTAGCGTCTGTGAGCTGCTTTCACTTTCTGTCCAGATGGTCTGAGATTATATCCGATAATTACTGTACCTACGTCATTGTGTCCCTCTGTCATGGCAGATTAAATAAAAGACACGTACTGTGACCTGGACGTTTGCATCACACTTTAGCAGGTACCCACCACAAGAGAAGGAATCATCGAGGATAGTATCAGTCATGGCAACAGAAATCTACATAGGAAAGCGCCTCTCCTACGACGCGCACCTCTGCACAATCCGCTACCACGGCCCCATCCAAGGCACGACCGGGCTCTGGCTCGGCGTAGAATGGGACGAACCCACACGAGGAAAACACTCCGGCACGCACCAAGGCACCCAATACTTCACGTGCTTAAACCCTTCTCCAACCTCAGCATCCTTCATCCGACCAACCCGCAAACCAGACCAACCACGCACCTTTGTCCAAGCCCTAAAGTCAAAGTACGCGTCTGAAGCTTTGGAGGAAGACTTCCAGGATCCAGATGTTCATGTTGTGTTTAATCACCAGCCGCCTGTGCAGCAGAAACAGAAGCCGGTGCTGTTTAATGGGAAGCCGGCGGAGGAGATTGGGTTCGATAAGATTAGGAGGCAGTTGGCGCAGTTGGGGGAGTTGAAGATTATTATTTTGGATGGGCTTTGTATGCAGAGACCTGAAGCACGGGGAGAGGGGTGGCTAAAAGGAGGAGAGAAGAATGATGTCATGGAGGCATGTCCGAAAGCGATGGAACTTGATCTGAGCAGGAATCTCTTTGAGGAGTGGAGGGAAGTAGCCGCGATATGCGAACAGCTGCCTGGGTTGAGGAGCTTAAGGGTTGAGTGAGTATCCTCAAAACTCGGTTCTCTCTTGTCTATACTAATAGAAGCGCAGTGGTATACGTCTTCGCGATACATCTGTGTCAGAACCAGAGCGAGCCCGCTGTCTTGACGCCTTCAAAGGCATAACCTCTTTGAAACTAGAAGACAACCTGCTTCCCTGGGCCGATCTCGCTCTCCTAACGCATCTCTTCCCCTCGGTCACAACTTTCTCCGCATCCAGTAATCTCTACACAGGCCTCACCCATCACGCCCTCAACCCAACAATCACCGATCTAACACTCGAAGACAACCACCTCACCTCTCTATCCTCACTAGCCTGCCTCACAGGCCTCCCGAACCTGCACCGCCTCATCCTTAAATCGAACAAAATCTCCGAGATAACCAGTTCCGGCGCATCGATACCGGTTTTCTCCACCACAGTCCGAGAAGTCGACCTCTCGTTCAACGAAATCTCAACATGGGCGTTCATCGAACAACTCATACACGTCTTCCCCGGTCTCCGAAGCTTGCGCGTATCGCAAAATCCGCTGTATCAGTCGTTACAAGCACCGGATGGACGGAACTTGACAGCAGACGATGGATACATGCTTACGCTTGCACGACTGGGGCAGCTCAAGACGCTGAACCACAGTCCCATCAACGAGAAAGAGCGGTTGAACGCAGAGTCCTACTATCTCTCCATGATCGCAAAGGAAGTGCAGTTCGCGCCCGAGAACCTGCGAGAGCAGATATTGAAGAGTCATCCACGGTACGAGTGGTTGTGTGAGGAGTATGGCGAGCCGGATGTTCAGCGTTCTGTCAACGCTGTGAATCCAAATTCGCTTGCTGCCCGGTTGCTTCGTATCAAGTTCTACCTTGCGACATCCACAGATGCGGTATTCGAGACGGAGATCCCGATGAGCGGCACGGCGTACACGGTTCTCGGTATTGTTGGGAAGCACTTCGGCATTAAGCCCATGAAGTGCAGACTGATCTGGGAGACGGGCGATTGGATGTCGGTGCGGAAATCAGCGACGGACATTGTGGATGACGACTGGGATTCTGAAGATAGCGAGGCGGAGATGGGTATGGAGCGGGTCATGAGGGAGGTGGAGATCGCTCCTGGGACGCGGTCGATTGGGACATGGATCGACGGGACAGAGGCTACTGTGAGGGTCGAAGTCAAGTCGTGACGACTGATTGCCGGGAATTAATCCCCTGGTTTCGAGCAATGTGCGCTTCGTTAGCAGTTCATTCAGCGGAACCACCAGTTGGCCTGTACAACCGTTAGTAAACACACCCATGCCAAGTTCCATACTGTACTCACCGAAGCATTCGCACCCTTTCCAACCCCCCTAACAGCATGCCACCATCCATTAGGAATATACAGCGCATCCCCACTCCTCAAAGTTGTTTCCCAGCCCGTCGCACTCCCCATACTTCCATCTCCATCCTCATTCCAAACCGCCATTTCCATAGCCTCCATCTCCGCACCCTGCATCATCTCCTCTCCTCTCATCTTCGCATCTCCGCCCGGTCCCCGTATATGCTGCCTTACAGCCTCGAACACCACCCGACCCACCCCAGGCTTCATCAACCTGATCGTTTTCTTTCCTGCCAGTTGTACGAAGAGGTTCGGGTTCGGGTCGCGATGCAATGGGGTGCGCGTAGGTGGTCTGCCCATCCAAAGACTCGATGCGTAGATATCGCCGCGGGCGTTGAGGTGGGATAGGAATGTCGATGGCGTGGGTAGGTCTTCTTGCAGCGGCGCTGGAAGATCGGCTAGCGAGTGTTGCGCAAGGTACAAACTCGTTTCTTGCGCGTCCGCAGCACTCATGTGTTGTAATAGGAGAGCCAGAGGGGCTTCGAAGCACTCAAAGGCTTCATTTCCGAGGGCATTTTCGGGGGATGAGCGCGTCAGCTCCAATGGCACGATCGCATCGCCGTACTGCTCGAGGTACGCTGTGTTCAGCTCTTGCGGATATCTGAATGTGTCGGGCTTATTATTCCACTTGTTTGTCAAAGATGCGTCGAGGAAGGCATCCTTCTTAAACCACTTCCGGATTGCAGGTATATCCAGAAAGGCTTTTTTGAAGAGCGCGGGTTGGTCGGGGTCGAATGCAGGTATGCTGTACTCCTTCTTCTTGTCCAGGTATTCCGTCTTCGTCAAGATGCGAAACCGCGGATATTTTGTTGGTCGTACATCTGGCCTTCTGCTCCAATGGCGAGGAACGGCAGGGGCCGGCTTCGGCATGGAGGTTTAGACTGTCGTGTGAAGGATTGCACGGATGCAGCTCGCTCGGGAGCTTGACACGCTCTCACGTTATCGTACCCCACACGAGCAGCAAGCACCCGCCCCGCCAAAACCTGCCCCTGGTAAAGTTTACATCGTCACAAACACCTGGAAGCTCAGCAGCAGCCCACGCGACACCAAGATGGCTCAGGCTCAAGGCGCACAGCCCGGTCAAAGTAATGGTGCCCTAATCTCAGATCGTCGCGCATTGTGCTAATCCCACCTCGCAGTCGAAATCACATCTCTCCCTGTCCCCCGCCTCCAGGAACTAAAAACCCAACTCGACGCCGAGCTCACCCACCTCTCCAACTCGTTCCAATCGCTGCGCACCGCCCAGTCCAAGTTCCGCGACTGCCTCAACTCCATCTCGACAGGCCTCACACCAGCCACCGTCTCGAAACCGCTCCTCGTCCCCTTGACATCCTCGTTATACGTACCCGGCAAACTCACGGATCATGAGCACGTGCTAGTAGATGTAGGCACGGGTTTCTTCGTGGAGAAGGATATTGCTAGTGCGAAAGACTTTTATGAGCGCAAGGTCAAGGATCTGGGCGACAGTTTGAAGGACTTGGAGGGTGTTGTGCAGGGCAAGGCGCAGAATGTGAGAGTCGTAGAGGAGGTTATTAGGCTTAAGGTCATGAACGCACAGGAAGGCAAGGGCGAAGAACAAGGCAGCTGAAGAGTTGCGAGGCAATAAGCAGACACCATGCTAGAAGACCGGAAGACCAAAGGCCAGTGTAGGACAAGCCGCATGCGGCATGAACAGAAGCACAGCTAGAGAATCCGGGACATGGGCGATCGTGGCAAAAGGCTAGAGCCAGACACTTGTGGTATTGGCATCATGCTATATGAGAATGAAGTCCTGCACATTCCGCTCATTCAGATCACCACCTCATACCAGGAATAAACTGAACAGGTCTGCAGCCTACATCAACATGGAAACATGCAAAGTAGATGACCTAACGTCAATGTAGCCTTCAGGGTGTTCAAGTTTTCCTGTCCTTTAGATAGCGACGCCTCCCATGTCTGTGACAGAACTGACGATGGCTGATAGCTGAAGCAGCTTGTCCATGAGGATGCGGATACCATCGCGTGGTGGTGCTTCAACGCCAGGGCCCAGATCGAGGTTCCTCATTCCGAAGTCCTCGTCCTCAACCGCGCTGGAGTAGCAAGACTGTCCATCATCTGGCAGGAAGGTAGCCACAGTGTGACCCCAGTCGGCCTTTCGACCCACAGGGAGACGCTCAAGCTCAGCAAGATGGGTAGCCCATTCGGAGTGGCGGACACAGAGACCCCAGACGGGAAGTCTCTGTCCTGGGTACCACATACAAGTAGCCTCGACCTTGTAGCAGGTCTGCTTGATACCGAAGGAGTAGATAGTTTCCAGACGGCCGTTTCGTAGGTGCTTCTTGACGGTAGGTGTCTGATCCCACTCAGCGAAGCTTTCGGTGGAACGATAATCGTGGTTGGGTCTCATCTTGACTCTATCAGCGAAGCCAGTAATGACAGGCGAGATGCTCTTCGCTGCCACAGGAATCAAGGACTCAAGGGCGAAGTGCCATCCTCTGCTCTCTCCAAGCTCCAGCAGGTTGATATCCATGTTCTTCTTTGGTGTTTTACGACCCTGATCGATTTTGTAGTACCGGGTTGTTGTCTTCTCGTACAAGCCCTCTTCATCATCAGTCCAGTCGACCTGAACAACGATGAGTTCGGACTGCGGCGCCGCGGATGGAGTGGTGGTACTAGCAGGAGCTTGGGGATGTGCTTTAGGACGTCCAGCATGGCGCACAGCTACCGGCTCTCGCGGTGGAGCAACAACGCAGCTAGGGTCTGTGAACACCCACGTTCCTCGGAACATTGGACGAGTGCCTTGCAGCGATTTTGGCGTATAACCGAAGTAGGCAGAAGACTTCGTCGGCTCCAGGAATTCATTGGCCATGCAGAGTGCTCCCAGAATTTGCGAGCCCAGTGCATCATCAGCAAGCCTATGTTGTTAGCCATTATACTAGTCGTCACGAGGGGACACACTTACCACTTCTTTATCTCAACTGTAACAGGTCCGTTAATCGACTTCAAGAAGATCTCCTTCCCGAACTTCTGGCCAATCTTATCCTCCTTGATATGTCTTGAGCTCAGAGCCAGGCACCCTAGCCGAACAGCCATATCGTACGCGCCTTTCGTGTGGCGCACAGCTTCAAGGGCCAGCTGAATTGAATGCTGGATCTTTGAAAGCTGCGTGAAGTGCATGATCTCATTGCGGAAGCTGCCGGAGGTTTCCATCATCCCACTGGAGAGGAGGCGAGGTACGACTCGATCTTGACTGATGTTGAGCGAAAGAGGTCAGCACTCGTCTGCAGTTCACGCTTGTGATTCACGTACAGGTTCGGCCACCACGCGTCAGCCTCCTCCAGAACAACCTCCAAGCCCTCTTTTTCATCAAGAATCATGTTGATTACATGCTGCAGTCCCATAGCATCAGCTTTGACTTTGTCGATCATCGTCATGAGATGCGCTTCGGCTGCTTCGATGCGCGCTATGTCGCGGGCTGTAAAAGTTAGTGTGTATCGCATGTAATAGCAATATGATGGGCTTGCCTTGTATCTCAATCTGCCAAACGTCATTCTGAGTAGGAAGAAGCGTTATGTACACCTCGTTCTGAGTCCGAATGGCGTTAAGCGCTTCTAGCTTGTTATTGAAGACATCGCGAGGAGTGACGCCTTCGTTGAGGAGGTCCTCCGGCCAGCACACGATGATGCTCGCCAGTGGCATCTCGCCTTTTGATACCTCAGGCGCCTTGCCCTTAAATTCGTCCTTCCGCTGACGCTCTCGCTCTTCAATGCTGTCGTAGTACCATTTGTTATGATCGAATGCAGGTGTCTTCGCCCATGATGATGAGTCTTTTGACTTGATATGCGCGTTAGAGATCCAGTGGTTAATGTATCGGACGGCCTTCTCAACGCCTGCACCTTGTCCAGCAATGGCGAACTGAGTGATATACCCAGCGTCCCATTTTGGGATGACATCGCAGCCAGTGTTGATCTTGATCTCGTTGACGATGTGCTCGCGTTCTGTAGTATGAGTGAGGCGACGGTACTCCGGGGGCACCGGAATGAACCTTTTTGGCTTGGGCTTGGGCTTGGGCAGAGCGCCAGTGTCCTGTCCGTCCATCGCTGCGGCTTCTTTGTTGTGTGGAGAACTAGAAGCAGTGTCAAAGTAGCGGCGTCGGGGCGAGAGGATTGGCAGTGTTGTGGTGTTCGTCGTTGCGGAGTTAGGTCGAGGTGACTGAATTGGAAAGAGCAAACGCGCGGTGGCGCTAGTGCGCATGCGTATACAGCCTCAAAGCACACCTACCTCGTCTCGTCGTTCTGTGTTCAAGGTGCAAGCTAGGGAAGTGTGTGAGTACGGTTGATTTAAACCCAGAGAGCGTTGTAGTATGTTTTCGGAGCAGAGTGCCAGCGAAGGCCTCCAGGGTGTTGTGCTGCACCTCCTCTCTGATGCAAGAAGAGCTCGAACGCAACACAATGATAGAGAGATTTCGAAAGCGCATTCTGTGTCAAGACTACTGAGGAAATCGTGTGCAATAACATGGGAAGCTTGTATGATGAAAACGAAGAGCAATTGTACTAATGGAGAGGTAGTATAAGCTGAGCACGAAACGAGTAGTGATGTGAGATGGAAGAGATTTACGATATGACGAGAGGGACCCTTTTAGTAAAGGTGAAGGGGAAGGTCTACTACTTGGAGACACGGTCGGCCTGCTACGAGGGAGGGAGAGCTCTCTCCTGCTAGAAGGGGTTGAGCACGCCACTCAAACCACACATGCAGCCCACGCGCATCTACGACAGAGAGGCTTCGAGCGATAATAAGCTGATAGACCTTTGATGTTTAGGTAGTTGGATCGTATCGCGCAGAGCTGTTGGCTGGCAAACATAAGTGACGAGGTAGGCTAAGCAGTGCATGAAAGATCACGCATTCCATCCATCTGAATTCGAAAGTCATGTGGTCAAGTAAAGCGACAGACGAAAGAACATCCCTAAGGTATCGAGCAGGTGTATTGGAAGAAGTCGTGGGCAAGGCTACCGAAGTTGAGAAAGGCTTGGCGGACATCGGCGTTTGCGGAGCAACTCCCGATCCATTTTCTAAGCATCGCGAAAGCCATTACAAGTCGATATAGCGCATCATCGCGCTTTGCACTCCTCGCAAGCGCTGTAGTACTCCTTATCGAACCTAGGAATATCTGCGACCGCTGGTAATTGGAGAGTCTGGACCTCATCGCCCCGCCACCATGGACGCCGTGCCCATCACAAAAAAGCTGATAGCCTTCGGCAGCAACAAGATATACCTGTAGGTCACGGCGATGTCTCATTTATGCTCAAGGCTGACACGATCCAGCCCCAAATTCACGGTTGCGTTTCTTCGCACGCACCAACTCTCCCCATACCATGCCCGCTTCCAGGTCCCGCTAGACTTCTCCAAATACGACCTCCGCGACTACCTCTACCACGCCTACAACGTCAAATGCTTCAACATCCGCTCGTACGTCAAGCAAATGCCGGTACGCGATACGCGCGAACAACCACGGCATTGGTTCCGCGAGGAGTCCAAGAAATACATGACAGTAGAGTTGGAGCAGCCATTCGTCTGGCCTGAGACACCCGACCTCGAACCATGGGGCAAGAAAGACAGGGAAAGAGAGATTCGGGATTCTGTGAAGATGGGCGGGGCAATTGACCAAAACGACACGCGGGAAGCAGCCAGGACGCTTCGAGAGCAAGTGGAGAAGTTACTACACAAGAACGTTTCCAAGCCGAATCGCGAGATACAGAAGAAGAGGGCAGCGGCTATGGAGCTTACGCCAGAGGAGCTTGAGTCGGAGATACTGAGGAAGCGGGAGGCGTCAAATCTAAAGCGCATGTCAAGATTAAGGTTGTGGGCGAAGGAGAGGACAGGAAAGACCGTCGAAAGCGACAAGCCCAGGCGGTACGCAATCAAGGTCTGAGAATGATCTTGCGCTGTGTATATATGCGTGTATCATATGCATTGGGACGGAGCAGGACATCATCAATTGATTGCCACGCGTACTGATAACCGACGTGGAGACGACAAATGCTTGCAATGGATCATTATAGAAGCAGCCAATTGTCGGGCTCTCAGTTGCACTCCTCGTGTCGTTTTGGGGTCCAAAGAGTGCTTCGTGACCCTTCTTCCGTTCTGAGCTGTTCAGTGTTACTCAATATTAAATATGACGCTGACGGTCGAACAGGTAGTCGAATGGCGAGGCAGGAAGGGGTCGCGCCGCCGCTAAGCTGCAGTTCCATGTAAGCTTGCGCCTTCCTTAGCTGCAAGTGGACTGCATGTATGACCCTCTCCGCCAATCTCATTCGACCACTATACAACGCCGGGGAGTTTGATACAAGGATGGATAATTATATAACTCTTGCATCGTTGGCACCCCCGCTTATCATCTCGCATTCACCACCACTTCCCATCTACCAACTCTGAGCGCTCTAATGCCTTACTAGCTTCCTTTCTCAATTCACTCAACCCGAATTACGCAGCTCGACGGCAGCATCAAACTGTCTTTGGTTTGACAAATTACGCAGCGCCATGTATGATTACAACCCGAAATGAGCAGAATTCACCTCCACTACCAAAATTCACCATGTCGTTCGGATTTGCTGTCGGGGATTTCATCACTATTGGAAAATTGATAAAAGAGACCATCAGCTGCCTACGGTCTGTGGATGGGGCTGAATCGGAGTACCAGGAACTGGTCAGAGATCTCAAAGCACTCGATACATCACTATACTACCTTGGCCACATCGATAACGAAATGAATACATTCGCTCATATCAGCCCGATCAAGACTGCTGCTACGACTTGCAGGCTACGACTCGAAGCATTCCTGTCAAGGGTACAGAAGTATGAAAGATCTATGGGATCCACAAGACACGCATCTACTTTGAGGACTACGTCAGATAAGCTTGGTTGGCATTTTGGCCAGAAAGGCCAGATCAAACAACTCCGACAAGACATTCATATCTGCCACAGTATTATCAGTCTACATCTGGCCCAACACAGTCTCGAGCGCCTGGATGTTCTACGTGCAACAACCGAGATCGACTTTTCGCATACCTCTGAGCAGCTCTATCACACCCAGACCGCTCTTGAGCACATTAAAAAAGAAAATTCTAGCCAGGCAGTCAAGCTGAATGATGTAAAAACGTTAGTGCAAGACATACATCAGTTCGTCATTGGTGACATCAAATCGTATTTGATTCGTCTCCTCCAGCTCATCAGCAGTACCTTGTACGTACCATGAATATAGTATGATTTGAGCCTGAGCTGACTGACAGGTTCAGTACTTCAACGCAGCAGATTTACGAGATTTTGCTCGATATCCGGAACGCCATATCGGTAGACACGCGTTGGACCTTCTTCCAGGCTCCTTTGGAAGTAGAAGATGCCTTCGGAGTCAAATTTCCCATCCCTACAGAGTACGATTACGACCTAATTGATACCGTTATCCGCCACCGGTTCAAAATTGGCGGGGGTTCTATGGAGGTGAAGGCAGGGAATTACGAACTGTGTAGGAAACAAAACCGTCTTGACATCATTACCGAGTCTTCACGTCTCCAGCCTGGGACTGCCATCACGATGTTCATAATCGTGAGCAGCTCGATCATTAAGGAGGCAGAATGGCCCATATCTCGTTGTGAATCGGCAGAGGTTATCCCGTGCCCCGGAGGGGGGTTTGGATGGTAAGTACGTTCCCAGTCCATTCGTGAAACTTCACTGACGCGGTTCATACAGCTCTAACCTTGATGTAGAGCTCTATCAGGCTAGCGAATTGTCATCAAACATCGAAAACGTCCGCAGCAATGGCGAAAACTTTTCCCAGCCTCTTACACTACTTCCGCTTGCCCACAACCGTCCATCCAATGCAGTCTGTTACCATGTTATAGAACGAACTATGCGAAGGAACGTCCGATTCGATTCTTTGAGAGACTCTGTCCCAGTCTACAACCCTATGTTGGAAGAGATTGCCAAGATAGACGGTGTTATATCCTGTCCTCGTGTCTCTATTGGAGGTATGGTAGACGGTAAATTCTTTGCGACGTTTCAACTTGAGCTTGAGCAAAACTCCGAGAACAAGTCACCGCGTTGTATGGAGGTCGGACGTGAGCTTCGCAAATGCCTTGATCGACGCGGGGCTCATGTGTCCAGTATTCATTCGCATGTCACCAGTAAATATGTCGACGCCGGAGGATGACAGACGTAGTATCGCACGCGACCTTCGCAGTGAGAAATATCAAAAAATGTCGAGTACCTTTTTGATAGGTATCATATTGAGAGCGGACAACGAGTCGTGACTTCCAGTCTTACCACGTGGCACACCTGCACTTTTGGCTGCAGACTTGTTCAGATTCCCCTAGTATTGAGGTTCTTCCCCGTTTCGGTTCTCATGCTCGTAGATCATTGGTGCCCAAGATGTCAGCCTGCAGGAAGGCTGAAAAAGGTGGCGAAGTGCTTGACTTGCAGCTGCAGCATTGTGCTACCTCAGCTGGTAGGTTAAGCCCCAAGCTATCGCCGTTTCTTCCGTTGCCTTCTCCCCTCGCCATCTCGCCCTTTCACCATACTCTTTCCAACTCATGCTTGGGTTACTCCAAACTTTCTTAGTCAAAATCCACAGACTGCGTGGGAAAACGGCCAGCATTGTTGGGCGGCAGGGCTGCGCCCTCGCACTTTCCTACCCCACGTTATTGAACGAGTTTAACCCACGATACAGAACCTTGAGGTGTAGCGGTCATGTCGTTTGGGATTGCTATCGGTGACTTCATTGCCGTAGCCAAGCTGATCAAAGATATCAAGGACTCCCTACAGTCAGTTGGCGGCGCGAAGTCGCAGTACCAAGAGATTGCGAGAGAGCTCGACATACTCGACAAAGCTTTGGAGCATATCGATCACCTGGATGCGGCTGACGGAACAGCACCCGGAGCAGTAGATTACATCAAGTTCGCCGCAATCAGCTGCCGGTATTCACTCCGGGAATTTTCGGAGAAGATAAAGGAATACGATGGCTCTCTAGGCGTCAGAGCTAAGACCAACATGATCAGGAAGACAGCGCGCAAGTTCCGGTGGTCATTCGGTCGCTCAGAGGATCTTGGGCAGTTACAAATGTACTTGAATACGCACGTTGGTACGATCAACATGTTGCTTGAGCAATATGGCCTGGAACAGATGACATCTCTTGGTATGAAGGTCGATGAGGGTTTTAGCGAAGTTAACAGGAAGCTGGACGAGAGCCAAGCAATCATCCAAGACGTCAAGAACGACACGTCCGTCATAGGCAGTTCCTTGGGCCAACTGCTCGTCGCAGTAATGCAGAACCAGTATGTGTACTACGGAATAATCATGAGCTACCGCTTACCGCTGTTGCTCTAGAATTTCCTTCGAGCAGTATAAAACGAGCTTGGCAGAGATTGGAAGGTCTTTGAAAGACATCGACACAGGGATGACTTATCTTCAGAGACCTTTTCATGTTGAGGACGCTCTAGGTTTCACATACGCGATCCCATCAGAGCTCGGTTACCGTATGCTTGATGCTTACATTCGATGTCGTTTCGAAGAAGGTACCGGCTCCCAAGATGTGGCTCTGGGCAACTACGAGTTCTTTAGAGCGGATCGAAGGTCATTGACAATTACTGCATCGTCTCAACTCACACCTGGAACACGTATTGTAATGGCCGTCATTGTGAAAGCGAATATAGAGAGCGTCTGCGCAAGGCCTGGATGCACTTCTACCGAAGCTCGTCCTTACCCTGGTGGAGGCTTTATATGGTAAGGTGTGGGTCTTACGTATTGCTATCTGGTACTGACAATAACATGACAGCTCTCATTGCGATTTATGGTTCGACCAAAGTACGAAAAGAAGACATGAGCTCAAAGACAGAGTCAAAGAAGTTGACGAGCTCACCATCTCCATGGACAACTCGCCCATTGATGATCCAGTACAGGTTGCAGACCGGCACGTCTATGACGATAATCAGTCGCTCAGGAATGTCAAGATTGCACAGCCGGACGAGTCATCTAAGATCGAGTCTATGCAGAAGCCCAATCCCACGAGCGACACACTTCGTTGCGATATACAGGGCTGTACTGAATTCTTCACCGGCTCTTATCGAAGAGTGGATCTCAACCGTCATAAGAGACAGCGTCATGTCATCGACCAGTACCCGTGCCTGGAACCTGGATGTGAGAAGGTGTTCAAGAGACCGGATGCTCGACTGAAGCATTCTCGGAGACGACATAACCATCTTTTCGCCAAACCCACGGACTTTTGGGGACCTTTTAAGGCAGCAATGGAGGCCGACCTTGCATCGTCTCGTTAGAACTGCGGGAGCTTTTAGTATCTTGCTGTTTATTAGTTCCCAGGTGTTGTTACATAGTGGCAGTCAACTCCTTATCAGCAATCTGATAGATTGTGTTAGGTATGCTACAGCACTGCGCTTTTTTCTCCTTTAAGTGAGGACGTCCAAAGTGATACCACTAGGTGTACTCATCAGACTACAAGCAGGAGATGAAGGCAGCTTCTCACCACGTGGCACACTTGCGCTTTCCGCTTCAGCACACTGACGCTTTCCTAGCGCCTACGTACCACCTTCCCTCACCTTTGATCCCCAAATCTTCCATCCCATATCAGCAACAAATCGCACTCATGGCCAACCACAGGGCGATGCAAGAGATGAGCCGTCTCGAAGACCTGCAACTGCAGCGCGAGCTCAAGCAGAGCGTCCTTGGTATGTCACTTCCCACTTTTCCGCTGCCGGAAGGCGCTGTAGCAGACTCTGCAATACTGACTGCGCAACAGAATACATCATCGACTTGTACCAACCAGCCTACCCCAACAACCATGGCTTCTCCATCCTCATCTGCCGCCACGTATTTGACCGCTCCTCTTCCATCCCCGCTGCTGCCGCCTTAGGCCGCCGCAACGATAGAGCAGACGAGTTCATCATGATCCGCGCGGTTACACTCAGCGAGTCCGGACCGAAGAAGTGGACGCTCGTGGCTGAGAGCAGCAAGGCGTACTTCGGTATCATACCCGCGTTGCAAGAGTTTACGAAAGACTTGGAGCGAGAGATGGGAAAGATGACAGCTTCGATGACTGTAGGAAACAAGAGGCAGCGCAGTGACAAGGACGAGGGCTCGAACGATCAAGGTGAGTACATCTCAGGTTATCAGCGCAAGAGGCAGAGATAGAGAGCAGGACGTGAGCTAGCAATCGCTGCAGCTGAGACTGGTGACATGGCTTGGATGTGATAATAGGTTTGACCTGCGACAAACAACGCATGTACAATCTACTCTATGTCCAGCGATGATGCAGAGATGGGCGTTTCGAATATCGAGAAGAGGATTTGAAAGGTTGTCGCACTTATGTGAAACGATGCAGCTAGTACGATGTCGAGAAACTCGCCTCACCTAGGCAGATCGTAGCGACTAAAAATGGCACATCATGAAGATATATCGTCATTTACGTGATAAAATTCAAGGAAGAAAAGTATGTAGTTGGGCATCTTTTGACAACTGACAGGTAGTACCCGGTTTTTCCGTAGTTCGGGCCAATGTTCAGGTGTCAGGCCACGGATTGACAGGTGTATCCTCGCATGTTCGCTGGAGTTCCATGTGCCTGTGGCAGTTGCCGGCCAATGACAGCTGACTCACGTGGCGTTCTGTACATAGCACCCCTACACACAATGGCACCGGGCTTCGTCATCGAGCCTGAGTGCTGCCGAGCTGGCCAGGTGCAGCACCGAAACTTGGAAGAACGACTGAGACGCAGCGAGACATGTGGAGTTGAAAGACGCCGCCATGCAGATGGGCAGAATAAGCATTACCTCACGGCAGCTGTCGTTGGGGGCGTCGCAATGTAAGATGGACAGAAGTGAGGCACCGGTCAGGTTCCGGAGGCGGCCGGAGAGGGGCTATGTCGAGCAGCACGTTGAACATGTTCGCAGCGAAAAGACCCCCAAAGGGTGCGTCGGTGAGGGATGCCGGTCAGAAAAGCTGCGCAAATCATGAGACCTAGCCGGGTTGGACAGGCGCTTCTCGTTGGGCGCAGCAGGTGGTGGCAGAAGAATTGGGCTTGGCTGCCCGGCTGGCGGCAATGACATCACTCGCACGCTCGGTGCCCTCAAGACGGCTGCCCACCCCAGCCTCAAGCAAACGGTAATATCTACGCCACCCCACCTGCACCGAGATAGATCCTTGGGACCCAAGCCAAACGGACAGTCATCAGCCCTGGCCCTCCCGAGTCGACAACCTGTTAAATACCACTGCCCGCCTGTGCCCTGCGCCGCTCAACACCCCATTCCCCTACCCACTTTGTCCCGTCACTTCGCAGGCACCTTATTCTTCGTTGCGACAGCCCACCAGCCTCTCACTTGCGCTAGCAGCCAAGTAAACTCTATCTGAACAAAGCGACCACTCGGTATGATTGCCCGCCGCCGCTCTCTTTTTTCCCTCGCGCGCCCACTAACCCAGCCTTGCGCAGAGTACTGGACTGGATACGACCCTTCCCGCTGCCGGACCCCTAGAGCCACAATCGCCCACGGCGGTATAGAGCACCACCACCATCACTATGTCTGAGTACAGCTACGCACCGCGGCACCGTACGCGGGAGCCCGAGTACGTCACCGAGACGACGTACATTGAGCGCGGCGGCCGTGGAGGCGGGGCACGAGATCTCGTCTACCGCCCCGCAGCGCGCGAGGACAGCATCGAGGAAATTCCCCGCGACTTCCCTCCCGGTGCCGAGTATAGGCAGACCAAGTACCGCGAGGAGTATGCGCCGCCCCGCCGCACCCGCTCAGTGAACCGTGGCTACGACGACGACTACTATGACCGTCCCCGCCGACGTGACCGCGACTACGATGATCGTTCCGAGTACTCCGAGCGCCCCAACATGCAACGCCGCAAGTCCATCGTCGACAAAGTCAAGGACTTCGGCGAGTCAGCTGGCCTAGGCGGCATCATCGGCGCCGTCACTGGCGGCGGTCGTGACCGATCGCGCTCGCGCCCTCGTCGAGACGACCGTGGCTATGATAGCGACAGATACGGATACTACGACGAGCGCGACCGCCGAAGCAGCCGTTACGGATCACGTTCGCGCAGCCGCAGCCGAGGAGGACACAAGTCTGAGAAGTGGGAGCAAGCCGCCAAAGCCGCTATCGTCGCCGGTGCCGTCGAAGCCTTCCGCAGCCGCAAGGAAGCCGGTCCATGGACCGGTGCCAAGGGCCAACGTGTTGCAACTGCCGCTCTTGGTGCTGCCGGTATCGACGGTCTCATCGACAGAGACCCCGGCAAGCACGAGAAGAGGCACGTCGCCGAGTCTGCACTCGGTGGTCTTGTCGCTTCTCGCCTAGCCAACGGCTCTCGCTCGCGCTCCCGTGCTCCTCGTGGCCGTGACGACTCCAGGTCTCGCTCCCGTTCTCGTGCCAGGTCCAGGTCCAGGTCCATCTTCGGACGCTCTCGCTCTCGTGGCCGCTCCCGCTCCAACTCCAGCGACAGAGGAGGAAACAACGGTATCGCCAAGGTAGCTGGTACCGGTGCTGTGCTCGCAGCAGGCAAGGCCCTATACGACCGTGTGCGCTCCAAGTCTCGTGCTCGAAAGGACCGATCCCGCTCTTCCAGCTCGGACAGCTACGTGCCATCACGTAGGGGCAACCGCCGCTCGTACAGCCGAGGCCGCGGTATGGACGACCAGTATTCCGAAGCCCCTTCCAGGACTAACCCAGATCGCAGACTAGCCGCCGCCGGTGGGGCAGGAGCGGGTGCTCTAACAGCACAGAATGGAGGAATGGATCGGGGTCGACGGGATTCTAGCGCGGATTCTGAGTCGTCCACCGATATGGAGGAGAAGCGCAAGAAGCTACGAGGTAAGGAACTCCTCACTGCGGGTCTAGCCACTGTGGCCACCATCCACGCCGCCCACGGAGTCTACTCTTCCATGGTCGCCTCAGAGAACCGCCGCAAGCTCGTTGGCGAGGGCGAAATGACGGCTGAAGAAGCGCGCAAACGCAAGTCGAAGAACATGCTCCAGGACGCCGCCGCCGTGGGTATCGCCGCCCTCGGTATCAAATCCGCCTACTCGGAATGGAAAGAGATGAACGAGCAACGCCACAGCGTCAAGGAACTCGAGACGCGCCGCCGCAAGAGGAGAAAGCTCCGTGAACGCCGCGAAAAGGAAGCCCGGATGAACGCCCTCGGTGGCAACATGAATGGTGCAGCCGCTAATCCGTACGCATATCCTGTAGCTGCCAACCAATCCTACCCTACGTCCTATGCCGATGCGAATCCCTACGGTAGCTCCGTCCCGCCCCCTCCCATGGGTGCGAGGTACTAGAGCTTCTTTTCTTTGGTTTACTCACGATGGTTATTCACGACACGGCCGACTTGGTTATTCTTGTACTGCGGTGGATGATAGAAGTATTGTTACATACCTTTTTTTTATTCCGTCTTTCAGAAAGCTTGGTTAAGCGAGGAGGTGAATGTTATTGTTCTTCTTTTTGAGCAGCTCCATTCTTTTGTTTTCGCGACTCTGATGATTGACGATGGATGGAGGCGACTTCTTGGGTTCGGAAGGAAAGAGAAGACGTGCTTTTTGGGTTGATGCGACAATCGAGTCTTCTGGCTCACACTTGAATGAATCACGACATGACTTTACGAAATGAAGATAGATATGAAATGGAAAACGGTCTCTTTGCACATGCTTTCTGGTTTGCACGTTTTTGTTTGAAACTTCGTGATGTATCTTGACGAAAGACCGAGCACAGCTGCAACATGTTCGCTTTTGGGTTGGTACATTCACAGATTCGATATCATGCGGACGAACTCTTGCACACGACCATTGAACAAGACTTTTGATTCAGGACATCCGTCCTACTCCCAAATCTCCAAAAGCTAAGAGAAAGAGGCTATGTGATATGTGATGCCAAACTAAGATAAGCAAAGGGAAATGTCCAGGCATCCAGGCCTTGAAGACTCCGCCACCGGAGGTATGTGAATATAGTCGAACGCCAGAGAATGTGCAGGGGAGATAAGGTAGATGACCAAAAGATATACAAAGGGGATATGTGTTGTGGGATGGAGGACCAAAACCAAGTTGCCGTCGACATCATGTGTTTCGCCGTTCAAGCACCCTCATCATCGCTGATGTCTTCGTCAAAGTCGGGTTCGTCGACCGCCCAGAGGATGAAGGGGCCATTGTACTCCATCTAGCGTTTGTTAGTACATGTCCATCGCAAGCAGGAATGAGATGTCATGGGCAGGTGGTACTTACATCGTTACGACCCGGCTCTGATGCAAACCACCAGCGGCCTAGGATGATGCG